AGAAGAAAGCATTTGTCCTGAGACAGTTTTGTTACATATGGCAAAGACAGGCCATGAGAGAAAGCTGAGATGGACACAGATGAGGGAGAGAGTTGGAAAGCAAGGACTCCTTGCATTATGCTGAGGTTTGGGGAACTTGAAAAGGAAGGATTTTCTCCTGTGACAGTCACAGCGCAGAGGGAAAGGTACAGCTTGCTCTAGGACTCTTACCACCATGGCTATGGAAAGTTGCAGCAGTAATTCTCAGAGCTGGGCTTTGTTAAAAATCAGTGGCCTCTAGTAGAGATGTTCAATATACAAACTGGGTGCTGGATCCATCCCCTGAGATGAATCCCCCCAGTCTGCCATGCAAATAACCCAGAGAGCTCTCACCATGCAGCCCAGAAGCCCAGAGCATCGCTCCTAACCTGACTGCAGCCCTGCACAAGGGGGTAACCCTGAGCTATACGGGAAATGTTGCCCTTCCTTCTGTAAAGCAACCGCCCCAAGCTCTCGGGTCTCCTCCTCATCTCTCCCCAACTGCCCAACAGGGACAGGCGGGAAAAGAGTTAGGAGCTGCAGTAATCACTGCACCATTTTCCCTGTGTGTTTTATGTTACCAGATATCCAGGCCATGTGGCAGATACAGATCTCGGCCCAAACGGCCATGCCAGGGATAACTAAAGCTTTGCCACGGGGCAGCGTGCACAGCAGGGCTGGCACGTTGTCGCTGCACTCCATCCCAAAAACCAATAGGAAGGAGTTGTGTTCAGCAGCTGATCAAAAACAGTGGCAAAGGAGGGGTTGAAGAGGAGAGAGGAGGGGAATGAAGAGCCAGGGATGACAGGAACTGCCTGTAGCAGCGGACGCAGAGCAGTGACCGTGAAACTCCCCTTGAGACAGTGGTCAGCCATGTGGGTGAAGTTCTCCGCTGTAAGCAGAAGCGAGATAAACTTTCTTTATGCTAAATCCCATCTTTACTGCTAATTTTTAAGAAGCTTATTTGAAATTTATCATTTCTTAAAACAAACAAACAAACAAACAAAACCTTATCCATTGTAACAATGCCGCATACGCCATTAGCTCTGGAGAGGCCCTCTGCCCTGGGAGCTGTCTGTAGCCATGGACAGGGGTGGACGGCTCTGTTTTCCATTCACACCTTGCACAGCAAAAATGGTTTCCTTTCATTGCCTTGGAGCGTGCAACCTTTCACTTTGCCTTGCTGGTCTCCTGCTCTTGCGTGGCCAAAGGGAGGGAGGCAGAAACACAAAAATATGTCACTAGGGAAAAAAAATACTTAAAAAATATAGGAAGCTGAGCTGGTCTAAAAACTTCAGCAGTCTTAGACTCTGGCTACACATGAGGGACTTGGGGCCGATAAGAAGAACTAGTGTAACAAGCTCCCTGTGAAATGCTGTAGCTAAAAAGATAAATGGGCTCCTTGCAGATACATGTCTGGGCATAGCAAGTGGAAAAGGTTGCTCTCAGCTCTGTGTGCAGCATTCCTAGGACACCCTGATGGTCTCACTCCAAAAAGCAGCTATTAAAAATGTGGCTAGAGTCCAAAAAAAAAAAACTGCATGCAGAGGGGTCTGGATTGTGGGAAATGGGCTTTTGGCTGAAGGCAACACACAGTATCTCTTGATCTGCTGAGGGCGGGTTCAGCCATGACTTCAGAGTGGCCTGCAGGTGCCCAAGGGGGACATGGCGGCTGGCAGTGCTCCCTCTGTGTGGCAGCCTGCTCTCGTCTCACCACCCCAGGGCAGCGGTCCTCCTTATCAGCCAGGAACATTTCAGACTTCTCCCCCTCGTTTAAACAGTTCCCATCTCCCCCGTGCTCCTTCAGTGTGTTGTATTCTCATCTCCTAGGTCCTTTTCCAAGAGCCTGGTTCTTTTACGAAAGAGGGCGAACATCTCCTTTTGTCCTGGCTCCTTTCCCGGACCCCTGTACCTTTCCCAGCTAAATGCTCCCCTGGCCTCCTCCCGTTCTTTGGAACAGAAAAAAGGAGCAGCCCCTGTCAGAAATACGCAGATGTGACATTTCCCTTCGTCCAAACACCTCCATCTTCTGAAATGCCAGAGCTGCCAAGCAATTAACCTGAGCACAAGGCAAGCCAGTCAAAACCAGTTAATTGGGGACATACTGAAGACAAAATGTGACAGGCTCTCTCCTCCCACTACTGCCTTTCATGTTCTTTAGAGTGAGCCCTCAGGCTAAGCTACCTTTTACGCATGTATATATGTAACGCCAGAAGCACTGAGACATGCCAGCACAAGGACTGAAGTCACTTGGCGACACGACGTGCTACTGTCACAAAGAGGCTTGAAAGATGGGCCTGGGAATGGTTTTACTAGAGTAAAACCAGATTTGTCTCAAGCCTGCCTCCACCTAGCTGTGATATCATGCAGAAGTGCCCCCACGTCCAAAATGAAACCTCCTTACGTTGGGATGTTTTACATCCCACAAGGAGAAGTACCAGAAATGAGGTGAAAACCACCAGGGACACAACTGTGGCTAATATTTTCAAGCAGGCAATGTGCAGACAGCATAGTAGGATGGGCATGGACCAGCCAAGGGTACCAGCAGGTGCCCAGACCCTCTCTCCCACCGTAGCACAGCGTGTTTTTTGGCAGCCCCATGCTGTGAGCCAATGCCAAGGAACACTTCCAGCATCCTTTGCAATATTAAGACTCTCTATTGCTGACTCCCCAGAGCAGCTTTCAGGCAGGATCACATCCTAAATCCCACCTGAAAGGCGTTAAATTGGATCAAAATAGTTTCCTTTCTGACTAGAAGGAAAAGAGTATAAAAACCATGTCCATGTCCCTGTTTTTACCAGCACAGGGAACTTCTCCTTGGGAACAAGCAGCCTCTGGAACAGGAAGTCTCTAACCTCACTGCTGTCATTCATCCCCTTGGCAACAGTGACCCCATCCAGCTGCGAGCAAGACCATGCAGGTCCCCAGCTGTAGCCAGAATCAATGGGGACTTTGTTGCCTCCCAGCAGAGCTGGGGCTGCCAGTGCTGAGCATCCCACACTGCTGCTCTCAGCCAGCCACCAAGGATCACTTCCAGCCTCATCCATCTCCCGGGACGTGCTGTGACCATATAGCCCACAAAGGTGAGATGCCTCAAACGCGGAGACTCCACCATCAAGTGGTGAATGTCTCCAGGTGAATCCCAGGGCCAGCTGAACCCTGCCGTGCCCCATCACATTGGCTCTGAGGGATTCTGGGGACTCACAGGCGGTGTTGGCCAGTCCTCCAGGGCTATCCCACACCTCCCACATGCACCCCAAAGGCAGCCTAGCTGCACATCCACCAGCACAAGGATCCCGGCACTGTGCTGTGCCGTTGCCCCAACATGCTGCACCAGCCTGCCCCAGGCTGCAGCTGTGCTGAGATCTAAACAGTGCCAGAGGCTACGGTGGCAAGGGGGAAAAAGCAGCCATTGCCTGCAGGTCTCAACTCATCCTTTAGGTGATGGAGAGAGAGGAAAGAAACCTCCAGAAGGCAATTTGTACCACCCTAACCACAGATGGAGTTGGTGCAGCTAGATCAGACCAGACACCCCATTCCAGAAAGCTGAAATTGAGTTTGACACACCAAACCTGCACATGCTGCATCCCTCTTGCTTGCACAGAGCCGTGACCCTCCCGAGCCTCCACAGCAAAGATGTAGCCCAGAGGGCCAGAGACTTTCCCAGCAGAAGCAGTGGCACACAAGCAGACATTACAGCATAGCCAAATTGGGCTATGACAATTAGCGACGCCCAATAATCCCACATATGCTATTTTCTTCACGGGTTTCTAGGACTTTCCCAGCATGTTAATGAAAATCCCAAGCCTAAACCGCACTGATTTCATATAAATATGTCAGCTATGCTGCCTGGGAAAACAGAAATGGGGAGGCAGACTTGCAAAGCCATGCATTTCCACTGTAAGCTCCTTAAAGCTTCTTTTACATTCAAGTGGCTTTGCATTTCATCTGAAAAGAACCACTTCTATGCATGACCCAAAGCTGTAGCAGACGGATTTAATGCAAATGACCCAGTGAAAGGACAGATCCTTTAGAGAGGGAAAGTTTATTTATAGAACCTTTTCGCTTCATGAAGATGCCAGAAAACAACCAAATCAGCCCCTCAGGAAATGGGAGTTGTAATAGTTGTCCTTCAAGCAGAACAATTCCCCAGTACCCACCAGCCAACACACTCAGTTCCTATCCTTGAACTCACCTTCCCAAAGTACAAAAAAGCAGATAAGTAGCAGGGCTAATAATAAGTAGCACTGCAGCTGCCAAACTCTGCAAATCAGCAGTAGAAACGTTAGTTTGCAGACTGCTTTTGCTTTTTCCAGTTGGTACAAATTCTTAAGGCAAAACCTTTTGAAGGGATGCACCACACACCCTGGGGGTTGGGTTAGCAGCTGCAAAGGTCAGGTACCTCGGTCAGGCACTTCTGCGCTGGGGCTGTCCCAGCAAAATAGCAACATGTGATGTAAAATCAGGACTGAAATGAATTATCAGAGATGGAGAGGAGCTGAGAAGTGAAGCAGCAAGGATGAAAAAATGTTAAACCTTGGGAACATGAACCTACCTGGAAAAGCAAAAAGAAACGCAGTTGGTTAGTCAGAAGAGTGCTGCGGGGAGTTGTGATAACCACCTGCAAACAGCCTTGCAGCTCAGCTCTCTTTGAGGAAGGGCAAGGGAGTAGATGATCTACCAGCCCTGATTTCTCAGAATCACAGAAGACACAGAAAAACTCAAAGCATAGAGGAGAACACTGTTTTCCATGTGCCATGGGAACAGGATGAGAAATCCCAGGCTCAAATTGCAGCAAAGGAGATGTGGGACAGAGACTGAAGAAAACCTGTAATGGGAAAGGCCACAATCCTTGGGATCGCAAAGTTCAAGAATACCAACCCCTCCGAGAAGCCATGAACTAGCTCTGAGGTCCACCACCAGCTTGGGAACCTGCAACAGTTATAATTACAGCTTCTCGTGAATAACCAGAGCACACTCACCTATCCTTGTGGGGAAGATGTCCTCATTGTTAATGAGCATCTCAATCCAGTCCATCAGCATGCACATGTACTGCGGGGCCGACAGCTTGGTCGGCTTCTTGTATTTGTTGTCATCCTGCCACCTGTACTCGTACTTGAGCCCACCCGACATGATTGGGCAGCTCTTCTCTGTGCAGTACTCTGACATGGTCCCATAGATGAGGTTGATCCGGTTGAAGAAGTCCACCACATGCACCGCAATCCAGTCATTGATGCTTTCCCCAGGAGGCAGCTGCACCACAGCTTTCAGGTCCAGCCCGGACTTCAGGGACGCCTGAGCTTTCTTGTACAGTTCAAAACGTTGAGTACCAGGTTCAAATTTCTTCCGAGGACGAAATGTTTTGTCTTTGTTGAAGACTTGTTTGAGACACAAAGCCATCATGGGGTGGGCCAGCCAGGATTATGGCAGATTCTCAGGACAAAGTAAACTCCAAGGCTGAGATTTTCAGGGTTTGAGGTTTCTGGAAGGAGAAAGAAATCAATTTTGGTCATATATGAAGCCAACTACACTTGTGTCTCACTCTCACAGGGATGAATTAGTGCCAGCATGTTGGCTGACCCTCTTGCTGAGGAAACTTGCAAGGACTGAGAAGATTTGAGGTGAATTCCTGGCTCCTCCACAGCCTCCCTGGGTGACTTGATGAAGGTACTCACACCTCACACAGCAGGTCCCTGCCAGGCACTGGTCACAGTAGATGCTAGCACTGCTGCATACATCCCCTGGAAAGCTCGAAAGGAAACAGAAGTGTTTCCTCTCTCCCAAGCCACATATGTAGCTCCCAAGCAGCATCGGGCTCAGGTCATCCTGTTACTTCTGGGGCGTTTATTCAGTAACTGTGGCAGTAAAGTGAGAGCCATGATATCAGAGGAGCTTACCAGTCCAACCAGTCCCAACCTAGCAGCTTTTTCCTCCTCTGGCAAAAGGGAAGTTTTTCTTTCCTAAGGATTTCTCAGCTCATAAAAATAATCCCCTGATCCTGTCCTGGTGGCTGGTGAGTGCTACCCTGGAGACTGCACTGCGACCACAGCTGGCTGCTGGTTCACACAGCTCCAACGCCGAGATCAGTGGGAACGGGGGGATTCTTTGTTCCACCCTGTGTGTTTGTTCAAAAGAACAAAACTCGTGTCCAAAGAAGGGAAGCAACAGCTGAGAGTAACAGTGTGGTGTGCCAGGATGCTGGTGTTCCCCTAGGCACAGCATAATGCACAAAGGAGCAGGCAGCAGCAGGCAGCAGCCACAGAGCAGCTGCTTCACTTGCTTCGTGCTTTCAGAGCGGGGCCGGACTCAGGGCTGCCGGCATTGCTGCTGTCTGTGGCCCCAGCCTCTTGACAGACAAGGGATGGGTGACTCTATCTGGAAGTCACCACTTGGCAAACTGCTGAGCTCATCTCTTCCTGCCTGTCTGAATTTACCAGCACAGACGAGGTCTGCATTATTTCCCCCCCTTTTTTTTTTCCTCCCCTCGAAGTTCAAGTGGAAAGCTCATCCACTCCAGACTTTTGTGGACAGGCTGAAATAAAACTTATGTGATATTCTCCAGTTACCTGCACTCATCACTGGTGATACCAATGTGAGATCAAGGTCCCGTTGTGCTAAATGCTTTTCTGAGGCCTGGGGAAGAGAGAGTTCCTGAGCAGCCTGCCCCTGAAGGAAGGAGATGGAGAACGAGTGAAAAAAAGGAAGAAAAAGACTCATGGAAAGGGGAAGTGACTTACCCAAAGTCACGAGCAGGAGGAAATGGTATTCAAGTGAAGCCTGCATACACGTTCATCATTAAAAAGACATCTTCTAGCCAAAAACTTGCTGTATAAACTCTGCTTTGTAAACTCAATCCAGAGCCACAGGCACATTCTATTTTGCCCAGCGAAGATAAGCTAAACGTTTTGCCTTTTCCTCCTCCGTCCCAAGCAGTAGACTCCAATAAAGCCAAAGAGTTTGTTCCCCACCCAGAAAACGGAGTGTGAGCTAGAAAAGAGACTGTGAGATGCCAGCCTATGGAGGGAGCAGGAGAGCATGCTGACCATTGGCTTCACATCATGAGTCCTACCTGTCCTGATGGGAAGGAGGTCTCCAGTACAGCAGCCCCGAAGGGGTGAACAGATCTCTGGGGACTCAGCACAGACTGAGCTTGGCACAATGACACTGTAAAGAATAGGCTTTATCTGGAGACTTCCTACCCGGCTGTCACGTATTCAAGCCACATCCTGTTGATAACACCTCTAGGAAAAGTCTCCCAGAGAGTATTCTAATGTATACCAATTTCTAATACATACATACATACACACACACACACACACACACACACACATATATATATATAAAAGTATATATGTATCTGCTGCAATGGGAACCCTAATCCAGTAGCATAGGAAATGCTTGGCTACCCTTAGGGATTAGGCATCCAGCCAATTTACCATGCCTAAGTCACAGTAACACTGTGTGCATGGTTTTCACCTGTTGCACGTTCAAAGGAGTAAGCATCTGTGCAAACCGCCTCCTTCGATGTTCAGGTAGCTGGTTTATCTCTTGCTTGCTGCAGACCAGAGCAACACCTGGGCTCCCACCACCGCCCAGTGAGGATATGGGGTCCAGGTGATATTGTGAGCTCTGAATGGTTTCTTGCTCATTTTGCCCTAAATCCCATGCTCCCTCCCAGAGCAGGGCTGTAGCCTAGATGTTGGATGCGACTGCTGTGAGGGCCCCATTCAGCCTCCTGCTTAACTGAGGCCAAAAACTTCCCACAGAGGACTTCCCACTGAGGCCACAGCTCTCACTGATGTACCACATCTTGTCTAGGCAGACATCCCTCAGACTTGGTGGAAATCCATAATGGGAAGGAGAATTCACATCACCCATTACTAATCTGACGTTAAGAGTCAAAGTCATGGCTCAAATTCCCAGCTTGACTGTGCTTCAAATCCATTGCACTGTTTGAGCTTGCACTGACTCAGGCCTCAGCTGTAAGATGAGCACGGAGTTGAAGGAGATGCAGATATATCTGAATTCATAGCCAAACACCAGCAAAAGCTTCACAGCTTGCAGAGGGGTTTACTCCTCTGGAAATCTGGCTGGCTTGGGTACCTGACCCCAGCTCAAGCCATCACAGTACTGTGAACACTGGGTACATCTCAGGTAGCGTAGGGTGCAGGTCTGCCTATACCTAGCTAGGCATGATGTGGTTGAGACATACCTTGTTCTGCAGCCAGCATGGGAGACCCACAGCCAGCAACATCTCTGGTGCTTTTGCACTCTCTAAAAGCACTTGTCACTAACTGGCTCCACCACCACAAAAGCTTAAGGCAGGACTTGAACGTGCATTGCTAAAGCCAAAAGAAGAGGTTTTTCCCTTCCTTGCCACTGTTCCTGCCCTCACATGTGGATTATTTTTTCTTTCGTTCTCTCCCTATGACTAGCCAGCTGCAGAGAGCTCCAACTGAAATGTAAAAGCCATTAAAACGAGCAAAAATAAACAATTTCGCATGTAACAAGAAGTCAGGATTTCCCCATCTGACACTTAGCAGCCTCCCGGGCAGGGATGACACAGCACAGGGAAGTCCTCCTCTAATCCACCCTTGAGCTCCAGCCATCCTCTAATCCCCCAGACAGCCCATCTGCCCCAGCAAAGCTGAAGAGTCCCTTCTCCCTGGCACACAAGTAAAACCCAGTGCCCTGATTTTCATCCAGCAGGGCTGGACAACATCACTGCACTGCACCACACAAAACCTGTACCCCAGAGCACAGCCCCCAATCTCTTTGCTGGGTAGACGGAGGAAGATAAACTTGCTTATACCAGTGTGAGGCTGGATTGACCCTACTAGGTCACAGAGTCCCTCTGAATTAACATCAGTTTAAACAGGGGCTGGGACCTAACTCAAAAGGTTTCCACAAGGGATTTTAGCAAGGTGAGTTGTGCCAATAGATATTTCTCTGGGTCACTATTTCGGCTGACCTCTTTGGTCCGTTCACTCTTCTCCATGAGCTATTTCTGCTTGCACAGCGGTGATGACAAGCCAGTGTGGCAGATAATATCCCATAAAACACATCCCTTACATGAGCAATCAGCAGTGAAAATCCAACAAATACATGGGGTATAAATATCCCATGTGTCACACTGCAAGTCTTCTGTGAATACTGAACTGCTCTTTGTGCTCCCCGGGAAATAAATGCTGTATCTCATCTCCCAAAGCCTTCTTAGAGCCCCAGAATTCATCACACAAATGCCTTCCTCTGGATCTCTTTGTATTACGCTACAAGCTGCTCTCAGTTGTCAGGCAGGTGGGAATGTATTTCATGCTTCAGTGCCACTGTCTTAATAAAACACCATTTAAAAAAAGCAACAAACCTGCTAAACCTCTGTCAGGTGTTTTCCTACTGTGCTTCTGCTAAAGATTCTCAGAAAGGGAGGAGCAAAATGCACTGTTGCCCAAATGCTCATACCCGAGTGGTGCTGGACACGCAGGACGACAGCACGGCACTGCAGCCTCCCTGCTCCCAGGGCGATAGCACACATCAGAATAATGCGAGCAGTTTTGCTGTCAGGATCCTTGCCAGCATCACTACCAAATCACTAAGTCATTAAAAGGCCTTATGAATCCTTACTGGAATGAGAGAACTTTGGAAGCTAACTTTAACACAAAACCAAAAACATATCCTGGAATTTACAACCAAAACAGCAGAGAGGCACATGAGGAACCAGTTTCTTTCTCAACCTTGCTCCAAAGCTTTCACTGCATAAAGAGACTGATGTGTAGGAGAAGTGAAAGGCATAGGAAGGGAGCTGCATGGAGGCTATGACCTCAGTTTTAAATACCAGACATGACCCTGACAACTGGGGCACTAAAATGGGACTTACCAGCTTGGAGCACAACAGTCTCTGCAAATGGTCATCACTGCCTCGGCTTCCCCACTGGCTGTGACTCAGTGGTGAGTCCCTACTTTCTGGGGAGAAAAACAGGCAAAGGGTGTTGAAGAACTATTTCAACAGCAGGTGCTTCACAGCCAACCAGTAATGAATGACTCCTAGCAGGTGTCATGCCCTGATCTGTCTGCACTTTGAAGGGTGGAAACAAAGTCCATTGAAATGGCCCCAGACACATCGCGAGTCTAACTTGCAGGAAAGCACATGAGCAGTGAAGAATGGAAGATGAGATTTCCCCCGTGGCCACCTTGATGCATCCATTGTAAAACACCAGAGAGCAAACCAGTACTCTAATGGGCTGGTGCTATTCCATCACCAGCTGAGTATTTGGGACAGGTCCATGTAAAGAGTAGGAAAATGGGAGATCTTCCAAGTTTTAGCTGAGGGGCAAAGTTCAGCAGTGTCTGGCTGAGCCCAGGTTTCATGGCTATGCGCGTTGCTGGAAATCAGGCCATTGTCCACAGGGATTTGGGGGTGGGAAAGGAGTATACGCTGCTCAGCTTGGGAAAGATGAAGGGAGATCTGCAGTTCAACAAGCTTAGACAGCAGCTTCCTACAACATGATCATACACATCCCACCACTGTGCTGTGCTGATGAGGCCTGGACCGATGCCCTGGCTGCAGTTTACAGGTCTTTGCCTTGAATTCTCACGTGTGAAATCATAGCTTGCCCAAGAGGAGCCTTGGCAATGGCTGGAAACCCTCTTCATCGTGCAGCAATTCCCATGATGGGGGTGGTCCTGGCACCCTGGGGGGAGGGGGGAGCACGAATCCCTTCAAAAGTGCCTGCACACCTACAAAGGAAACCTTGTGCTAGCTGCGGCGGGGCAGCTCCCACTCCAGGGCCGAGGGGAGCAGATGTGGAGTAAAGCAGGTGGCTGCGGAGCCAGAAACTCGTCCTGCCCTGCTGTCGCACAGCGGCAGCCCCAGTCCTGGGGCAGCTGCCCCTGCAACCGTATCGCACCCCGGCAAGTGAGACAGGAAAGCCGAGAGCAGGCGCTTCCCTCCTGCCCGCCTCCCCCTCCCGCTGCTCCCGGCCCCGCGGAGCCCAGGGAAGGAGGAGTGTCAGGGAGGATGAATGAAGCGGCAGGACGGAAAGAGACCGGTTGCTGAGGCCAAACGGCAGCTCC